ATCCTATATATACTTAAAGAGAATAGAAAATTAAGGATGCATGTTAAGATGTCAGAATAAACTGACATATGCACAAGTGTAAAAACCAATTGTAGTATTTTAGTATTCCCTTTCTTTGTTGTTAGCTACCAGCAAGCCAGGTCTGCTCACACCGCCCAGTCCTGCACCACCAGCACACTTGTTCTTGTGTTTGAGCCCTCTGTTACAGCCACCATGCCAATCCATCTTGTTGGGGGCCTTCCTCTTTCCTGCTGACCCCCTACTTTTTTAAACATGATGTCCTTCTCCAGAGCCTGGTCTCTCTCCTGCTAACATGTTGAGGACAAGAGACAAAGCCTCTCCATCCTTGCCTTGTAAGAGTCTTCTGGCTGTACCTGACACCTGCCCACCTTTTCTTCAAGCAACATATTTAACTTCAACCGCTGATCATGAGGTTGCTGCTGCTTGTGAGGATTTTGGTTTTCTTCACATTGAGTTGCAATCCATACTAAAGGTTTATCAAAATACTGATGTTTATCAAAATCCCAAACTCACTGCCATTGAGCTGAATCTGACTACAGGAAGGGTATAATTGCCCCTGTGGGTTTCTGAGACCATAACTTTGTACAGCAATAGACAGCCTCATTTTTTGCCCAAGGAGCAGATAGTGGTTTCAAACCCTGCAGTCAGCAATCCACCTTGTCACCCCCACACCACCGGGGCTCCTAAAAACAGAGTCCATGCGAAGAATAAGAGTTTCATCTTGAGAGATACATCTGCCTCATGTGATGTCCTCACAACCATTTTTCACAAACAATTTCTTTGTTGATAGACCAGCCATGTATATAAAACTCACCTTTTATAGCACAGTCAGTGGTTCTGACTATCTGCGTGACTTCAGAACACACTCACCTCCAAAGAAACGCACCTCCTGTTAGCAGTGACGCAACCCTACCTGTGCTACCAGCCCTGCAGTCACCAATCTTTGGTCACTGGATTAGCCAACGACGACATCTCACACACGAAGAATCATATGATAATTGACTGTTGTGTCTGGCTTCATGTAGCACAATGTTTTCAAGGGCCATTCACGTTCTAGAAAGCATCGGTGCCTCCCTCCTTTCTTTATGTAGCTGTGCAATATTCCACTGTACGAATACATTGGATTTATTTCTCCATGTATCAAGTGATGGACATTTAGGTTGCTCCCACTGTTTTGATGTTGTGAAAAAATCAATTAAGAACATTCATTTGAAAGGTTTTGCATGGGCATATGTTTTTATTTCTCTAAAAACTTCTACCTAAGAACTGAATTGCTGAATCTCTTATGTTTGACGTTTGAGGAACTGCAAGATTGTTTCTCAAAGTAGTTGCACTATTTTACGATTCCACCAGGAATGTATGAGGGTTTTAATTTCTCCAGGTCCTAGCCAATAATTTATATCGCCTGTCTTTTAGATCATGCGCACACTAGTAGTGGTCTAGCAGTATCTTGCAGTTTTGATTTGCATTTCTCTAGTGACTGCAGAGCAGCCAGAGCCACGTGGCTGCCAGGTGAACAGACACATCTGTCTTGGGGGCAGGACAGACACGAGGCTCCGCAGAGCGAGGATGGCGAGACTCCGTCTCACATGCTTCGGACGTGTTAGCAGGTGAGGCCAGTCCCTGGAAATAGACATCAGGCTTGGTAAACTGGAGGGTCTGCAAAAAAGGGGGGGCACCCTTGAATGAGCTGGATTGACAGTGGCTGCAGCAATGGGCTTAAAGACAACAACTGTGGAGCTGGACAGCACAGGGAAGGGCGGTGCTTTCTTCTCTTGCACAAGGGGTCGCCCCGAGTTAGAACCGCCCGGACAGCACCAGCCAGGTTCAAGCGACCAAATGAGCACGTGTCCAAGTTACTGGGCATTTGACATCTTACAGTATTAAGTCGCGAACTAAATGTCCAACCCTATCAACTAGTAGAACCCAAACATAAATAAATATGCCTGGTGCTCTGTGACATCGTGTCTTTCTAAGCCATTGCTTCTATTTTCATCTTTGGCTGCTGGCTCTAATTCCACCTACCCCTCCAGTCCAGCTCTTAGGCTCTGTCACAGGAATGAGCAGGCAGGCCTTGGGCTGAGAAGCCTCCTTCTCTCCTGCATCCTGCCGTCTTATGCTGCTTTCTTAGATGTGACACACACCGCATCTGCACGACAAGGAGTCTGTAAGTCAGACGAGTCGGTCCCTCTATGTCTGAGACAGGGACACGGGTGCAGTAGTGCGCTCTCTCCCCGCCAGCCCATTGATTCACTTCTCTCTGTAGCCTCGCTCTCAGGGAAGGTTCCTCCCACCAGGACTACCTCTGGCTCAGTCATGGCTCCCGTTTCGGTCAATCCGGCACCAGCAAATGTGATGCAACAGACATTTCAAACTTAAGACACTGGGGGTGGCTCCCTCGGATCCTGAGACCACGAGAGAAGCTACTTTCCGAGAAGGTGAAAGACCCCATGGAGCACAGAACAATTTGGTCCAGCTGAGACCTCAAACCCATCACGCTGCCAAAGGTCTGTGTGCTCTACCACCCAACTCCAAAGATGCACCCATCTGACGCAGATCAGGGCACCTCAGCTGACTAGACTCAGAAGAAGCAGTACCATTTCCAGGGACCGAAGGGGTGGTGGCAGGTGACACACAGTATCTGGCACGCTGTACTGCTCTGAAGTGGCTAAAAATGAATTGATGATGTTGGAACCTCCCTCTCTCCATTCCATCCCCTCCTGCTAAATTCGTTTCTCTAGCCTACACGTGAAATACTAACTCCTGATTTCTGCCTAGAGCTCTGTTTTCTTTTTGGTCTCATAATAAAACTAAAAACTATAAAGTAGCAGATTGCAAAAGATGGCGCATAGGTGGTGTGTGTCTACACAGATCTGGATTTGAATCGTGGCTACACTATTTACTCTCTGCGAATACTGAGACAATTCCTTTGCACCGTCTGGGCCTCTGTTTTCTCTTTATAAAACGGATCTTATTTGCTAATCTTACAGTATAGTTGCTCACTCACGGCCATTGAGTAGGTCCTGACTCGCAGCGACCCTCTGTGGGTTTCCGAGACTAAATGTTGATGCAAGTAAAGAGCCCAGTATTTCTCCGGCAGCTGTCAGTGGTTTTGAACTGCCAACCATGCAGATTGCAGCCCAACTCCGAACCACTATACCACCAGGGCTCCTATAATTAGTATTTGGTAATATTTAATACATATAAAGTAGAAAAGATCATATTCAGGGACATTATTTCCGTAACTAAATCATCTACATAAATATTAATAAAAAAATGAGGCTATAGTTACTCTCTAAAACTCTATTTTCACAATATTTTTTCCTTCAAGACTGATGGTAGAGAACTTGTCAGTACGCCTACACGTGGCCAGGGCAGAAGACGACAGAAAGGACCCACCTCCACCCTGGGAGGTTTTCCTTTCCAGTTGGATGAGCAAGGTCACCACGCTGCTCTTGGTGTGAGGGGCCCTGAGATCTGCTCTAATCCACAGCGGCGCTGCCCAGTCCTGTGCCGTCCACATGAGGGTCGAGCCCACCGCTGCATCCCGGGACTCTCTTTTGCTGACCCACTTATTTACCAAGCATGATGACCTTCCAGATACCGGTCTCTCCTAGTCACACGCATGTCTGAACGGCATGAGACGACGTCTGCCATCCTCGCTTCGCAGGGGTATTCAGGAGGGATTTCTTCCAAAATAGAGTTGTTTGATCTCCAAGTAGCCCACGGTACACTCAGCAGTACTTGCTGACACCATAATTCAAAGACATCAGCTCTTCTCTCACTTTCCTCATTAACTGTCCATCTTTCACGTGCACATGAAGCAGTCAAAAAATGTCATGTCTTGGGTCGGATGCCTTTTTATCCTCAAAGTAATGTCTTTATTCTTTAACACTTGCAAAGATGTCTCCTGCAGATTTTCCCAATGCAATGTGCCAGGTCATTTCCTGGCTGCTGCTTCCATGGGCATTGATTGTAGATCCACGTGAACGAAATGCTGCACGACCTCCATCTTGTCTCCATTTACCGCTCTGTTCTTACTGGTCCAGTTGGGAGGATTTCTGTTTACTTTCTGTAAGATTATGTATATAACCCAGATTGAAGGCTGTGGCCATTGAGCTTCATCCATACATGCTTCCACTCAAGGCCTCTTCCCGCTCAGCAAGCAGGATTGTGTCATCTGGGTATCACAGGTTGTTAACGACATCTTCTTCCAATCCTGAGGCGGCATTTTTCTTCAGGGTCTCCAGCTTCTTGGATTATTTGCTCGCCACACAGATGGAATTGGGCATGATGAAAGGATACAACCCTGACACACCTTTGCTGATTTTAAATCATGCTGTATCACACATGCTGGTTGTGTTCAGATGAATGCGTCTTGGTCTATGTACAGGTTACATGTAGCACAGTTCTCTTCGGGGTTATGGTAGTGGGTCTATATGAAATCACTAGCCACCTGCAGGGGAAAGCTGGGGCTTCTACTTCTGCAAAGAGACAAGGTCTTGGAAACTCAAAGGGGCAATTCTCCCGTCCTGAAAGGCACTATGAGTTGGCACTGACTCAATAGCAGTGAGTTTAATATATGTGTAACAAATCATAAAGGAAATAAGTCATTATTTAGGGAAAAGGGTTTCTAGAGGCTTTTGATAATTCACAGTTAACCAGATAATTTCTCAATGTCCAGACACTTACTTGAGTAAAACTAAGTGGCACAAATTGGCTTCTTTTTCCCTCCACTCTCAAGAAACATAATGATTTACAAACATGTGACATCAGGATGCTTCGTGTATATTAACCAAAGCTTTTATGAAACCCTTTGTGTCCAACCCACTGAGCCTGTTTACTACATCGGTTCATGCTACCCCTGCCGGATCACCGAGCATGCAAATGAAAATATGCTGATTTAATCTAAAACAGCATCATAATTTTGAAGATAGCAACAGAATGAAGTCAATCCTCTTCCATAACCCATTGCTCACCTATAGAGGCTCCACTGTTGTTACCAGCATAGTCAGCATCTTCTGGATGGAGTGTAAAAGCATACAGAACAAGAGCCAAGAAATAAAGCAGAACCGTTAGAAGCCCAGCCATAGGTGCAAAAAAGAAAATAAACTACTTAACACAATTAGGTTAAAGCACAGCATGGCACAGCCCTGACAATGCCACTCTTAAACATAAAACGTGCCGTTTTATATTTAAGTTTACAATGATTACTTTAAAACACCATGCAGGGTTCCCCACCACCACCACCAACCACCACCACAGGCTCCTCAATGCAATTCCAACAAAACGATGGAAGATTTGTCTGAAGGACATCTGTTTTTCACAGTTGAGAAATTCATGGCTTGACTGGTCCCCAAATTTCTATTGACAAGTCAGGCTCTCTGATGCTGTATGAAACTCAGCACTTATTTGGGCTCACTGGGTTAGACAGAAAGGCCAGGACTAAGACATACCCTCCCATCTCTAGATTGGAAGGGATTCTGTGTCAGGAAGGAGCTGTATATTTCAATAAAAAAAAAAGACTAGCCCAAATGAGAACACTCTAAAAATAAATACTGGGCTATTAAATACTTCAGACTCAAATTAAAATGCAATAGATTTAAAAAAAAACCCAAAGTGTGGATTATTTATTACTTTAGGTCTCTAATCACTTATCTCTATCTGTATATACTCGTAAAGCCGAGTTTTTCAGCACATTCTTTATCCGGTTTTTGTGGTAAAATTAGGTGCCTTGGCTGATATTCGGGTTGGCTTATATTCAGGTATATATGGTATCTACCTAAAGATGATATAGGCAGACAGGTATGTAGGTAGGTAGATACAGATATATAAATACACGCACATAGTTGTGGAAACTAATAGCACATACTGGACAAGAATCAACTAGCAGAAATAGCTCCTATAAATCCTATGTTAAAATATGTTAATATATTTCAATAGTATTACATTCTTTATTCAGTTATATCTGAGACTATTGACTGACATAAACATAATAATGTATTGTTTCAGATTACTTTCTATCTTTTTACTACGTGATAAGAAAAAAAAAACCAGTAAATTTCTTCCTAAAACAAAGTTCAACCATGATTTTTGGTACTGGTAGGTCATGACAGAAACTCTGCGTGTGTAATGAGATCATTTTATAAAGTGCACGCTGTAACCAATGTAGGAGTCTCTGGGCAGTGCGACAGTATTCAACTTAATCCACCTCAGTGCACGCGAGTTTGCAGGGGAGCTTTCAGACATACATGTACCTTCGATTTCCTCTGAGAAGCACGGAAGAAAAAGGGAAAGAGAATGATTAAGTGTACAGATTAAATGTGCATGACTAAAGCAGTAAATGTTTCATCTGAGGAAAAAAAGTTCACCTACCACACTCAACTGCTTCCTCATCTTGGAAAGCCAAGGAGGGAAAAAAGGTATTTTAAATGTTTCAAAATTACTAGGCAACTATTACAGGCAACTATTAGACTGCATTGAGCTCGTGGTCTAAAAAGAAAGTGTACGTGTACGCAGCAGAAACAAAAAGGCCTCTAGAGAGCTTGAAAACTAATTAGGAGGGAAAACCACCAGAACAGAAAACCCTCAGCATTAAAAACAAACAAGACAACCTATAATAAAGGCTCGTATTCTCCTCACACAATAGTTTCTTTATAAACAACCCACATCTGTTCAACACTCTGAGGAAATTTCATAATATAGTAAAAAGAAAAGATTTTTAGGAACTTTGTTCTTAATGGGCTTTATGCCTTATAAACTTAACAATACACCAGCAATTATCAGATTCCTACACATATCCTATGTGTTTGCCCACGTTTTTTTATGGTCATTCTGTCTGTATTACTTATGAAAGGTATTTTGAAAAAATAATCCTAAAACATTGATTAAACAACTAATAGAACAATTAAAATTTAAATCTGACTTCAACACCCAACAGAAATAAAACCTGGCCCAAATGCTTCACTGGAGAATTCTACCAAACATCGAGAAGCGTTAACACAACCAATCCCATCACAGTATCCCAGAACACAGAAAAGGAAGAAAAACGCCCAAACTCACTCTGAGGGCAGCATCACCCTGACGGCAAGGCCAGGCAGGCGGAACTGAAAAAGAACACCACACACCCACAATCCTGATGAAAGCAGATGCGGAGAAGTTCCACAAACCCAGCAAAGAACATGCACAGCATATTCAAAAGTAATACATAATGGCCAGTTCAACATGACAGTTCAGCATTTGAAAAACAACTCAATTCTCCACGTAAAGGAAAAGAATCACATACCATATGTACTCGAGTATAAGCCGACCCAATTATCAGCCAAGGCACCTAATTTACCACAAAAACTGCAATAAAAATGTGCTGAAAAACTCGACTTATACACAGGTGTATACGGCAATCCTCTCCAATGACACAGAAGAGTCATTTGATAAAGCCCAGCATCCATTCCTGATGAAAACCGTCAGCAAATAGACGAGATTCCTCAACACATTACAGAGCATTTACACAAAACAGCCAGCACGGGTCTTAATGGGAGGCGAAAAGCACACCCCATACAAAAGGGAGCCAGGTAAGGGTGCCCTTTATCACTACTCTTTATTCAATGTCATATTGGAATAGCTAGAGCAATAAGACAGGCAAAGAGAAGTAAAGGGTATACAAATTAAAAAGATAAAAACTATTCCTGTTTACGGATAACATGATCCTATGCACAGATATTTCATTGATTCTACAGCAAAGCTACTGGAATAGAAGGATTTAGCAAAGTGTGAGATCACAAGATCAACATACAAAAAAAATTCCATCGGAAGCAGCACATCAGCCTGTGTGATTCAAGGACAGTAAATACAGAAAGCTAAAACCAGAGGAGGGAGCTGTGTAAGAGCTTAAATTCTGAGCACCCAGTTCTTAGAAGGCTACAGATGACAGTTGTGTTAGACAGGGTTCTCTAGAGAGATAAAACCATATTGCTAATAATTTTATATATATATCTATATATATATATATTTATATAGATAACACAAGAAGTAAACAGTTAAATTATAAAGCAGTTATACAGATAGATATATAACACAAGAAATAAACAGTTAAATTATAAAGCAGTTATACAGATAGATAGATAGATAACACAAGAAATAAACAGTTAAATTATAAAGCAGTTATACAGATGGATAGATATATAACACAAGAAATAAACAGTTAAATTATAAAGCAGTACAAATGGCTCAGTACAATTCAAATGTGTTAGTTGTGAGGCACTGGCAGTCCTTCCAGTCTTGAGGGCCGCCAGGTAGTCCTCTGTAGAGAGATTCAGATTCTCCGGGCACCGGCAGCCAACAGCAAGGCAGGTCCCCAACAGTCAGTCCCCAGCTCAAGAGATGTAAATTCCAATTGTGTGGTGAAGCAGGTCTTGAAGGAACCTCAAATTACAGCGACACAGTCCACAGGTTAGGTGTCCCACAGGCAGTGTAGCAAATTGAGGCACAGAACAAGCAAGGCAGCCGCACACTGGTCCGATGATCAAAGAGCGAGAGACAAGAAAGGCGAGGCTCACCAAGCCATCTCTCCACCCTTCAATTAATCCCACATGTTGTTTATCAGTCAGGCTGGCACAATAAACTAACTACCTAAACAGTGAAAGCCCAAAATCCACTTGCAGGGTCCCTCTGTTGAATCCCCTCTGACCATAGATCTGAGATGTGAATAGCCTTGCTCTCAGAAAGACTGCATTAGAAAGTAGTCTATTGGAGATGGAGTTAGGGTAAAATATAACACCTTATCATTTTGACCCTTAAGTTTGTCCCAGCTTTTAATCTTTTCTTTCTTCTCCATTGAGGTTTTCCTGTTTTATTTTGTTACTTGGTGGGGGTTGGGCAAGGGTGTGTTTTTCTGTATATGAAATCTAGGATAAGAAAATTTATAGAGACAACAACTGGTTTAGTAGTTTCTTAAGACTATGGCTAGGGAGGCTAGGGGAAGATGAGATCATAAGTATAAGAAAAAAGAAAGGAGACGTCAGACAGGGCAAGATATGACAAAATAATAATTTATAAATTATCAAGGGTTCATGAGGGAGGGGGAATGGGGAGGGAGTGGAAAAAATGAGGAGCTGATGCCAGGGGCTTAGGTGGCAAGCAGATGTTTTAAGAATGATGAGGGCAATGAATGTACAGATATGCTTTACACAATTGATGAATGTATGGATTGTGATAAGAGCTGTATGAGCCCCTAATAAAACAATTTTTAAAAAATGTTCTAAAATTGATTGTGGTAATGACTGCGCAGCTCCTAAATATGATTGTACTATTGATTTGTATGATATGGGAATTATATATCTCCGATTCCTCTACACTAACAGAGAATTCTGACGACAATCCCATTAACAATGATTCCCCACCTCCGACACATATACCAAAAGAAATAGTAATGAAATAATTAGAAACTGTGATATAGTTAAGATTTTTGTGTCCATTTAGCTGGGCCAGGATTCTCAGTGGTTTGGCAGCTGAGGCTTCGAATTGCCCCATATAATATCCTATATGGTCTAACAATATAATCAGCTACATAGTGGAATCCGCTGTGGGTACTTAAGCAGTTGGACGATTAGGGTGGAGGCAACCCTTTTACTCCGGTTACAGAGCTGGTGCAATCAATTGAAAGGAAGTTCCCTTGGTGGTGTGGCCTACTTTCTTTACAAATAAATGCAGTGGGGTTTTGCTGGGTCTGAATGCTGCATCTGGCTCACCAACCTCCAGCTCTGTGGACGCCAATGGCCAGTCATGTTGCCTGTCAACCCAGGAGCCAGCCATTGGTGGCCTGCCATGTGATCTGTCAAGCTGGGATTCATTAGCTTCTGCAGTTGCAGCTGACATTGGATGCATCCCACCTCTCTCCGTAGCTTATGGTGCTCCTGTCAATCTTGGGATCATCAGCCCCCGAAGTAATGCGAGTCAGAAGATCGCTCCAGCTCAGATCTGACCCATGGAACTCAAACCGGAAGTGAGCCGATTTCTTGGTTTGACTTCTGGGTCAGCTGGCATCACGCAGTCCACAAAGCCGATGTTCTATATGCTATTCTGTGGTAAAGAGTGACTAGGGTCTTCATGGCTGGCAAGTGGCCAGTCTTAAGGTGCAACTCTTTGTCTCACCCAGTCAGGTGGAAAACGGCGTAAAGCAAAACACAGGTTCAAGGAAACAATTAGTTCAAAGGATCAGAAAACTACATGGTGCCCAGCTACCACCACTAATGGCTCTGACCGGGATCACAAGAGAAAACACCAGGGAGAATGGGAGAAAGGGGCATAACAGACTCAGATTCATAAAAGAGATCAGACTTACTGGTCTTACAGAGCCTGGTGGAGCCCTGACGACACTCTTAGACACCTTTCTAACTAATAGAACTGAAGCTATCCCCAGAGATAACTTTTCAGCCCCATGAAAGACAGGCTGATAAAATGAGCAACAATGGCCAGGAGGGACATGCTCTACAGAATAATCAACTAGGAGAACAAACGTGCAGTATTGCCCACCAGGAAGAAAACAATCACCAGGCAGAAACATGGAGCTCAAGGTGATGGGGAGAGCGTGCTGACACACTGTAGGGAATGCAGCAAAGCAATGTCAGACTGGCCTGTACGAGCTGCTGGATGGGAAGCCAATTCCTGCTGCAAGCTTTCACCATCCTAGACCTTCAAAAGTATTTGTTTCAAGTGAAAGACCTTTAAAGGCAGAAAATATGCTGACAACAAGAGAAGCAAAAGCAGTCCTGAATGAAGGTACTTCACTACATCACCTTAAAGCAAATAGCAAGTGGTCACAATTGTCTGCTCACATATCTATCCAAACCAGAGAATGAAAGCCAAAGGAAAGAGTCAGAAAAAGTAGCTATCTACCACTGTACTTTTATATTTCACATATTAAGGCTCTTCAAAACTGTCTTACGTCTCTTGGTCAGTCGTGGTAAACATGAGCAGGTTCTGTTCAGCAGGGCAGTAGTAAGCACACCAGTCCCCTGGCTATTCACTCTGAGCTGGACGCCCCGGGTATCCTAGACAGGTGCAAGGACAGGCAGGTGCGACTCCATTGGTGACAGTCACACTGAAATCACTATTTTTCAGACTCAAAAGTTAGGAGGCCCCCAATTCATGCATTTATTGATGCGCGCTTCTCAGTAGCTCTGCAATGTCATATGCATGTAGAGCAAATTACTAGAAGTTACAGAATCCACTTTCTGATAAGGGGCATAGCGTCATGCCAGGGATCTCCACATGATGGACAGGGCATTTGCAGGGCTTACAGCGGATCATTTTCTGAAATCTCAGATGTCCAGTCAGTAGATTGTCATATACAGGCCTCATTTTCTGACACAAACAACACAATAGACTTGAGTTTTATA